AAAAATAATTGCTCGAGTAGAAAGTACAGATAACTGTGTAAAAATGTAATGAGTAAAAGTAAAAAGTACACTGAAAAATAATTGCTCGAGTAGAAAGTACAGATAACTGTGTAAAAATGTAATGAGTAAAAGTAAAAAGTACACTGAAAAATAATTGCTCAAGTAAAGTACAGATAACCAAAATTTCTACTTAAGTACAGTAGTAAAGTATTTGTACTTAGTTAMTTTACAACACTGGTTCTATCCTCCTCTGAGCATTCAGAAAAAACATGAAAGGCAAGTGAAGTGAGCTCGCCTCTGACGCCCCTCTGGGCCGTCAGCAGAGGWAGTATCAGAGCCGGGCCCAAAGTGGGCTGACCGACTTGTGAAAAAGCAACCTGCGGCTCAGAAAATGATTATGAGCTGATGACATCAGCGAGCGACCACAGGATTAATCAAAAACAGATTTATTACAGAGTGAATGTTATAAATGACATGAAACAACAACTTTGTATTTAGTTAAAAAATGTTGAACCACATGATCGTTGAAAATCATTTAATTCTGTTGTTTTTTTGTGTGTGTGTGTGTTTGATACAATCAAAACAGACATTAGCTGGATCAACTACAGGATAATCAACAGATTAATTACTGAGAGAATATTAAAAACTACCAGAAACAGCAACTTTAGTTTTAAAAATATTGAACCACAGGATCACTAAAATGAGTAAAAAATTTTTTCGTTTTTCACATGAGGATGACGTCAGCGAGCGACTGCAGGATTTATCACCGAGGGAATATTAAAGACGACACAGAACAGAAACTGTGTAGTTAGTTTAAAAAATTGAACCACAGGATCGCTAAATTAAGTTTATTTTGTTGGTTTTGTTTGTTACGAGGCAGACACCCGTCACACAATAAATACATCGTGGTCCATTTCAGCCCAGCTGAGTTCTGCTCCACGCCTCTTTTGGTTCATTTCTGAACACGTACAGGTGAACGGGGCCTGGCCGGCTTCTCCTGTGATTTTATGGGAGCTTAAAGCCGGACTGGTCTGTGCAGTGATTTCACTGACCTGTCTTGTGAAAGAGGCTATTAATGCTTAAAAACAACAAAAAGAACGACATGTAGTGAAAGGAGAAAAGCTTGTATCATATATTATGTATTTGATCAAATGCTGGAAAACCATAGCTCACTCAATTTATTTCTTTTTTTTTTTTTTTTTTTTTTTGGGGAGACTTTTTCGCGTCTCCAAAATGAGTCTTTGCATGTTTGTGCTTTCATGTGATGCAGGAATGTTAAAGAAGCTGACCACTCTGAAGGTAGATGACAACCAGCTGACCTCACTGCCTCACACCATTGGGAGGTAAGAAACTGACACACACAAACACACACAAATACACACACAAACAAAAAAAACCCAATTCTGAAGCCATATTCAGATTATAGGTAATTCAATTTTGTTTAATTTGATCCCTTTTATCAGTTCATTTTGGGTTGTTGTTGGGTTGTTTATCTTGTTTGTCACTGATCGCTGCTGTGTTGTTCTGGTGGCTGATGACTGTTGGGGGGGGTTCTGTGTGTTGTATTTGCTGCGTTGCCGTGGCGTTAGTCCGAAGCCCAAGCAAGGGTGAGTAAAATTAGCCTCCTGGATCCAAGGGCTTGTTCAGAGACGGACTGACGTTCAGCTGTGTTTCAGATACAGAAAAACCTGCTTCCCCATGCTGATAACCATTCCATGCAAGCATAAAGATGTTTCCTTTCACTGCGCTGAAGGTCTGAACAAAATCCATTTGCTTCATTTAAAATCAATTGCATATTTGCTAGATGGTAAAGATGGCAAATAAAGTGAATGCAGTGATGTAAACTTGTAGAACTGTTCCAATCCTTGTGACAAAACAACAAAGATTATTTTAGATCCAGACCTAATATAAAATATCTACGTTCATCACATCTCTGTAAAACATTTGATGAGTTACATCATTTAAGATAGGAATTATTTAATGATATTATTTGACAACTTTTAAGCCTTTGCACAAATAAATGGTGTGAAGGTAAAAATGCTATTAAACACTGAGGAACATTTTGGCAAGAGTTGTATCTGAACGCACTGAAAGCTTTTTGTCTTCCTGAACAAGTTCCGGGTTTTAGTCTTGATAAGTACTGCTGTAGAGTCATTACTCCTCTTAAAGGGTTCTTTTCTTTTCCTACCTTATGTAGTGTTAAAAATGTTATTTTCCTCATGATGGGTATGATCCCCTCACATCGTTCCTTTTTCCAACATTTATGTTTCTAAATTATGGAAGACCGAAACTGACAAAATTAAAAATAAAAGCAGAACTATATAAATGGCACAATAAATAAATAAATACACTTAAAATACATCAAATAATTAAAAAGAGAGATATTTATGTTTTATTTATTTATTGGACCTTTTATATATTTCTGCTTTTATTTTTTAAATATGTCAGTTTTGGTCCTCCGTACTAAATAAGAGCCGTGTTTTAGTTGAAGATAATGTTGGAAGATAAAGCTGACTGTGGTGGGTATTTTGTGAATGGAGGTGGGCTGTGAAATAAGGTGCAAGTATGCAGTTTTACAAGTGGTGCACACAAAAAAATAAACAAGTCAAGTCTGAGTGACCAACTAGTCCAACGACCTTTATGACTTCCTCTTATTAGTTGTGTTTACATAGACACAAGTAATGGAAATAAATGGCCAATCTGGAAAAAAAAGATTAAAAACATCTCTTAAACACCCCAATCTGATCTGATTCATGAATTATTCTAGTTGTGGAACACTGACCTGACTGTGCGCCCTGCCCCAATCTGACATATTTCCGCCAGGCTAGATACTAATTTGTCGGGGAAGCTAAATTGGTCGGTTAGCGATAAAACATTTCTGTTAGAAACGGTAGAAAGTGTAGGAATGTGGAGCGCAGTAACGTCTCCAGCATTATTACAACCTGCTGCGGGTCCATTCTGGGCACTCAGAAGGCTTGTTGGAACATTTCTTTATGTTCAACACGGAAGTAGAACTTCTTCTTCTGTGTTTTTTTAAGGAAAGTTTACAACCCCGCACATATCAGTGCTTTAGTTCTGAATAAAAGCATGTAAACGCTCATCGTGATCAGATCAATTAATTTTGTGCCTGTCTAAATGATACATTCGGATTATTTAATTTAAATACATTTCAATCCGATCAAAGAACTTTGTGTATGTAAACATAGCTGGTGAGACCCAACCTTTAACCTTATCTGAATGTTTAGTAGTAAATTAAATTAGAAATGCAATAATGTTAAGAAAAAAAATTTATGATTTATTAATATTTTACGTTGCATATAAAGCTCTTTACTTGTTACCTTCCCTTTCCTCTGCTCTCATTTCTGACAGTATGGTGGCCCATATGGCGTGGTCTTTCGAGAATAATAATAGCGGACTAATGCAGTGTTAACAAGGACAGTACATGAATGTAAAATTGTTGTCTCGTTAGCATTAGCCTGCTGTTAATTTGATGTCAGGCCATCGAAGGCAGCCAAAGGGCGGTCATGTGTCCTGTAGTGGCCTTACAATAGATGCCAGTGTACAACAGAGTGGAGGGAGAACGTTTTTAAAATCCAATTAGAAAAAAGTGAGAGCGGTGGAAATTATTGAAGGCCAAACTAATGTCGAAATTCTTTTGAAGGGCTGATTTAATCGTTGACTTAAACGTCCTTCATTCTCAATATGCGCCGCCTGGGAGTGAATTGAAAAGTTTGACGACTTTTTATTTTTATTTTATGTTAAAGCTGAACGTAACCAGTGTTTCTCCTCCCTGACCCTCACATAAAGGCTGCAGACCCAGACAGAAATATGAGGGAAAGATGAGCACGTTTTCTTCAGCTGTTAAATAACTTAAGTCAAATTTTTTTGTTTAGGAATTTCTTTTCAGCTGCAGATTCATTCTTGCTTTGCATTTGCAACAGCAGGGCAGCTTGTGGGCGATGATCTATTTTAAAATAATCTGAGTACATAAAGCAGCATGTCACCGAGGACTGTGAGACTTATTGATTCAGCTTTAGAGTTTGTTTATTTCCAGTTTCAGTCTTGCAGCTGACATGAAGTGGCATTCTGAATGGTTTTATTTTCTCTCGTTGTCATGCTCTTTCAATCTTTCTTTCCTCCAGTCTTTCTCTGTTGGAGGAGTTGGACTGCAGCTGTAATGAGCTGGAGTCATTGCCTCCCACCGTCGGCTACCTGCACAGCCTGAGGACTTTTGCTGCAGATGAGAACTTCCTAACAGAGCTGCCACGAGAGGTATGGGCATCACATCAGCTCATTCACAGTATAAATTGACAAGTAACACTAGAGAATAGGGATGCACGATGTATTGGCATTGACATCAGTATCGGCCGATGTTGGTCATTTTTTAGAATATTGGTAAAACTGGGCCGATATTAGTGTCTGATATTGATTTCCCATTTTTTTAGCTTTGGCTTTGTCTCAAGTCATGAGTTGCAGCTGACATGGGGCGTATTTGTCAGCCACCTACATCACTGCCCTGTGCTGTAGGATGTCTCAATTCGTGGGCGCCTATCGTGCGGCCGACAAAACCCTGAAAACGTTGGCTGCATCTGAGTATCCAACGCAGCCGACGGTATCCTAGAATTCATTCCACCGTCAGCGGATTAAACAGAAAAACAATGATGGCAAAGTTTTTGTTTTATTTGGCGGTGGGGTTTGAAAATTTATCACGGACAGAAAAATGTCTGTCCGTCCGTTTTCTTCCACTTATCTGGGGTCGGGTCGCGGGGGCAATCCCAAGGCGTTCCCAGGCTGGCTGAGAAACATAGTCCCTCCAGCGTGTCCTGGGTCTTCCTCGGGGCCTCCTCCCAGTGGGACGTGCCTGGAACACCTCACCAGGGAGGCGTCCAGGAGGCATCCTAACCAGATGCCCGAGCCACCTCAACTGGCTCCTTTCGACGTGGAGGAGCAGCGGCTCTACTCTGAGTCCCTCCTGGATGACTGAGCTTCTCACCCTATCTTTAAGGGAGAGCCCAGCCACCCTGCAGAGGAAACTCATTTCGGCCAATTGTATCCGTGATCTTGTTCTTTTGGTCACTACCCAAAGCTCGTGACCATAGATGAGGGTAGGAACGTAGACCGACTGGTAAACCGAGAGCTTTGTCTTTTGGCTCAGTTCTCGCTTCACCACGACAGACTGGTACAGCGCCCGCATCACTGTAGATTCAGCACCAATCCACCTGTCGATCTCCCGCTCCCTTCTTCCCTCATTCAGTGAACAAGACCCTGAGATACTTAAACTCCTCCACTTGGGGCGGGACCTCCTCCCCTACCCAAAGAAGGCATCCCACCCTTTTCCGGCTCAAGACCATGGTCTCGGGTTTGGAGGCACTGACCCTCATCCTGGCAACTTCACACTCGGCTGCGAACCGCTCCAGTGAGAGCTGGAGATCACGATCTGATGAAGCCAATAAGACCACATCATCCGCAAAAAGCAGAGATGTGATCCTAAAGTCAACAAAACAGATCCCCTCAACACCTCGGCTGCTCCTAGAAATTCTGTCCACAAAAGTTATGAACAGAATCAGTGACAAAAGGGCAACCTTGGCGGAAAATATAAGTTTAGCAACTTAGCTGAAGAAAGTTTTGTTGCAATGAGATGTTAAATAAAATGCAGTAAGAAGTACTGAAACCGGTGCTAAACTCAAATTAATAATGCTTTTTATTTATTTATCTGTAACTTTTTCTATTAAAACTGAATATTGTGAAGTTATACCTTGAAAAAACAACTAAAGCGATGTGATATAAAACATATCAGCATGGTAACGAGGCACCGCGTGGTCACGCAAATATATGTCTGCCGTAGACTAGACTGTCTCATTTCACAGCTGTTTATGCAGCTGACACGAGCGGCCTACGGCCCACGTAGACTGTGGTCAACGTCGGCCATGGTCTACGTCGGCTGCAACTCGTAAATTGAGACACAGCCTATGTGTTTCTGTTTTGGGAGGGGAAATAGTTGATCAAGTGGCATCTGTTTGATCCTGATAGTGATAGTGATGCTGCACAGACAGTCTGGTCGTTGTTTACAGTATCGAAAAAAGACACAAGTGTGTTGGTGTGTATATGCACATAAATAATTTGTGTGTTTGGCCATCGGCCGTAACAGCAAGAATAGTTCTGGATATCGATATCAGCTGAAATTTTCATATCGGTGCGTCCCTTCTAGAGAACATGCATTTTCTGCAAAAATGCAGTGTGAAAGCTTATTGCTGAAACTAGACTAAAAATAGTTTTACAAAGTAGCTAAAATAGCTGACATTAGCACACAAAAAAAACCAGAAAGAGCATGTTTGCTGAATTAAGAAGTGAAAAGCTGAATTAATCAAAAAAAGGTAAATTTAGCTGAAAAAGCTCAAATTAGATCAAAAGTAGCTAGAAACACAAAATAGCTGAAAATTGCAGTAAAAGAGCTGAAAGTAGCTCAAACAGTTGAAATTAGAAGAAAAGTAGAAAAGGTAAGAATGATAGCTAAAAGTTAAAATCAGCTAAATAGAAGCCGAAGGAAGCTGAAGTTAGCACAAATGAGTTAAAAAGACAGAATTATTC